TAAAAAGCTGAGAAAGTAATCCTTAATTATTAGACGTCGGAAAAATTAGTTTTAAAATACATTGACAATGTCAATCTAATTCTACTTTTAAAATATATTTTTATTGCTACTTGTAATTTGAGTTTCTAAACTTTTGATCTTTTATAAGGATTAGATATTTTAATAAAAATACTATCTCTTCTATATATTGATTATCTAAATTTAATTACTTTTAAATGTATATCTAAATTAAATATTTATTCCAATGTATAATTCTAATTTTACAAAAAAATTATCATAAAATAAAAAATATTATTACATTATAATATGAATGATTATTCTAATATATGAATTAACTATTTTTATTTTATTAAAAAGGAATCATTAAATAAAAAATATTGATTATATTATAATATGAATTATCATTACAATTTTCAAACGTTATTATAAAGTCAAATTAAATTATTGATTTGAAATTTTAAATTAAATCATAATTAATCAGATCAGATCAGATCCAATCAGATCAGATCAGATCCAATTAGATCAGATCAGATCAGATCAGATCCAATCAGATCAGATCAGATCAGACCAGATCAGAACTTATTAGAATCAGATCAGATCAGAAAAAATAAGTTGAACGGAACGGAGCCTTACCCAGTCTAGGTCATACTTTGTGTTCTTGTTGTGTGTTTTATATTACGGGTCGAGTGTGTCCAGGTAAAACCCGGTTAACCCACCCCGCTATATTTACACCATCAGGCACCGTCATCCTGCTCTTCTTGCTCGCCATATTTTGCTGTGCATACCGGAAGGGTTTCTCGGCGTCTACCCTTTCTGGTGCCATGTCTGACGCTGGGCAGAAACTCTATAGCATAGTGCCAAACGCTGGGCAGAAACTCCGGCCAGCAGCAGTTCCGAACTCTGGGCAGGAATGCTAGCAGCCGCAGCGATTGCCTCTTGTTGAAGCCCAGCAAGAGTTCGATCCTTGTTGAAGCTGAACTCAGGCCATCTTGGCCCCAACACCGGTAGGCTTCTCCAGAACTTGGAACTTTAAAATCTCTTCCCTATACGGATTTGGCGCGCATTCTGTAGCTGTCTTCGGATGGTGTCAAGTGGAGTGGGCCATAGTTTTTTTAATTTGTTGACAGGTTCAAAGTACTTCACACTGGTTGTTCGTTACTGTTACTACTACGTACTCCCTCCGTCCTACTATTTTTGTCCACTTACCTTTTGGCACACCATTCAATGCACTTTTTTAATCCATTTTATCTTATAATTTGTATATTAAAAAATTATAAAAATTATATATTAATAATCTATATGTTAAGACGAATCAAACAAGATCACACATGACTACTTTTAGGCTTACACATTGAGAGAATTTCATGAGTCAAAGTGCTTAGATGAACAGTTCCAAAAGTCAAAACTGGACAAAGAAAATGGGACGGAGGTAGTATTAAATAGTAGAAGGCGCCATTGTGGAGTGGGACTTCTTGATATTTCTTGAAATTATTGTTTCATGTTTTGATAAATGACAAACGCAAAACAGAACGAAAATTTCGAAGTGAAGAGAAGTTTCCCGAAGGCTTTTACTTATTTTGAGTCTAAGAAATTTTGTAAAGATGACAAAATATCTTTTTACTTAAAAAATTTTTCTTGAGGGTTATACATTAAAAAGTATATATATTTTTGGAGTCAAATGAAAAATATTTTAACGGTTCAAAAATAAATTTATTGAGTCAGTTACAAAAGATGTGTCAAACACTTTTTAAGATTATTTTGATATTAGAAAATATTTTTGGGAAGCAAAAATCTTTTTACTCAAATATTTTTTGATATTTTTTAGAACACAAAATATTTTGGGACTCAATTTTCCACTCCATTATTCACAATCACTCCCAAAATAATTCAAAAATTATTTTTGAGTTAAAGTGGATGTGATTGGGAGCCTTAGTGCAGGGATCTTGTTGGAAACAACATGAAATGGACAAACTTGCTTCATCATCTCGCCATTGATTGATTCTTGCTATCATTGCATTATTCACACTAAAAATTTATTAATCTTTGTGTAAAAATCGATTTTCAATTTATGCGCAGATAAGGGTTTTCGCCTAGACTTTTTAATCAATTTTCTAGCCTTTGGTGAAATTGATTTCTTCTAAAAATCGATTAATCACTTTTTGGATTAATCGATTAGAACCTCTTCACGCAGAAGGAATTTTACTCAGCAGCATCTAATCGATTTTCGCACTCTTGTAAAAATCAATTTTTTGTCTAATGCATCTCATCTTAAGCCTTATCTTTTGCCCCAACAAACATATTCATTTTACACCTATATAATCCCTCTTCCACCTTCATTCTAACTACAATACAAGCAATCCAATCTCCTCCTTCATCACTCTTGATTCTTGCTCCATTCTTGATAATTAAAATACTATTTTTGAGAGA